TAAAAACGACTTCCCAGTTAAGATTCACATCCACAGATATCCTCACACAAAGAAATGTTCTCCTCCATGTTCGCACATACAATGCAAACGTGTAGCTGGAGAGGAAATGAAAGTTTCGATTTCGGATCCGAAGTTCGCGACCATCGGAGATATCATTTCTGGTGTTTTGCCGTCAAATAGAGCTTCTGATTCCGAGTCAGAATCAGTATTTCGATGGTTGAAATACAAGTTGCGAGAGGGAGAAATGCTCTCCTCCATGTTCGCAGATATGCGCAGTTGGGTATGTATGGATTGTGGATGTGAATCTTAACTGGGAAGTCGTTTTTACGATCGGTTTTAGATATTGTTCGTAATTTCTCGTGAAAAAGAGATTGCGTTTCACGGTGACAAAGGAGATGTGATGCTCAGAAATTATGTTGTCAGACGGAGAAAGGCTCACGGGTATGTTGTTAGATTTGGTCGACATCGGTATATGTGCAGGGCAGATGAGAATTTGATGGCAAAGTCGAATTTTGTTATTTATTGGAAGGATTGAAGTGGAAGATTTTTATATATAAGGGGAATGTAGTTTGGATATTGAGCCTTATGATTCTGACTATTACATAGTTTGTGAAGTGAAAGAAGCTTCGTTTCAACGTTGAATAAGAATTTGCTTTGCTGATGGAATCGGGTAGCGGGGAACTGGGAGGATCGGTGTTTTTACTCTGTGGATAGGAATAAAGGTTTAGTTTTGACGGTGTATAGGTATGAATCTGCTTGTGTGTTGTCGAATTGCATTCACTTTGAGATTCGAAGAAGTTTTGGTTTTTCCCAATTATCTTCAGAGTATTTTTTGGATGCAGTAGTCTTTGTCTAGGGTGGTGTGGTAGAAGCGATGAGTGACCGTTTGGTTCCATGCGAATCAGGATCTGCGCTGTTTCTCATGCATTTGTGTGAGATGGTGGCCGGCATAGCGGGCAATGGTTGTATAGGACAGGGTTTTTCTTGAATATACAGATATTACCCATTTCGACTGTGGAACGATTGGAAATGCGGCGACCTGCGGGTGTGATACGGAGTGGTCTTAAAGAGCTCTCTAAGCGATAGTTGAGATTTTGTTTGAAGCAGCAGTTCTGGTGCAGGTATATAGGCGTTTTCAGTATATGCCATTAGCATGGGCATCTGATGACAAATACGAAATGTCTATGGCGAACGCATGACAGACGGAGAAATTCTACTGGGTAGAAAAAGCAACATGCTCAAAATTTCGACACTTGCGCTCCTTATCGTTCCGGTTTTCCATTGCACAACACGGTTCCTTCGGTTGCAGTTTTGAACGCAAAGATGTTGCTTAATCTTATTTCTGAAATAGGAGTTTCATTAATTTTCTTTTACCCTGATATTTATTTTCCATTTCAGTCGTTCATTTATAGATGCCATTGCCACTTTGACACGTCAGCCTATAGATTATATCTTCTCATTCACGCTTCCTTTCACTCTGATCCACCATCGAGGTTGATCTCAATCTTTTCAAAACCTTCATCGCTACTGATTGACTCTATCGATTCCCTGTAACCACTGCAACTTCCATAAATGTATACCACGCGTGGAGTGTTCTCTACGAGCGCTCAGACGGTCTTCGGCCGCCTTCGCTATCACAGTTAATCTCGATGCTTTCACCAACGAACATCCACCATCAACAGTCCTCCCAAACCATGTTTTCTGACGTTTTGCTCAATTTTGGAAAAAATTTTTTTTTTACCTTTGACCTTTGACCTTTGACCTGCGACAGACACACACACAAACGAATTTCCGTTTGTTGACCACTTTTTTTCGACATGACCTTCCTTTCAGTCGAGGGAACATATATTTATCTCAAAATAAAAATGCAAATTCGATTTAAACATTTAGGAAACATGAATCATCTGAACAATTGTGCAACGGTTCACTCCTTTTTATACTCTTTACCGCGTTTGACTAAACCGTTATGTGCATGTATATTTATAATTGAGAATTTTTCTAATATTATTTTGAAATTATTATTTAAAATTTTATATGCACAAAGCGTGATTACATAAGATAGTTTTTTATTTATACTCTATATAGATGGCGCTATAACCAATCTGTTCTATATCAAATATATCGAATTGCATCTTTTCTGATTTTTGCAAATACTTTTGGGCTAATTTTACGATTTTAAGTCATAAATAGAGAATTGATAGTTTATTGTTATGTTTGAGTTCAAAAAATTGCTATCTAGAGTAACCTTGTTGAAAACCGATAAAAGCGCTCCGTAAACTGTACTCCGATACGGGCCGTAAATAAGGCACAGTAAAGCGGTCTGTAACACACCCCGTAATATATTGGCATGTGCTTAGTTTACCGATACCCGTATAGGAAAATGATCGGATTTCCACAAGAGTACCGTTTTTTATAGGTCTACCACTGTTTACGGATCGTTCTTATAGGCCTGGGTCACTCTATTAAAATATTTCAAACATTGAAGGAAGATTTCATTCGGTAAAAATTCAAATTTCGTTTGGGACATTGTGACGATGAAAATTTTCAAATGGTAAAGCGGATGAACATTTTTTTTTGTTCTATTTACATAGGAAACTACGAGGGTAGGTTGATGAAGATTCATCGTGAAACATATTCTATCAAATATAATCTCACTCTTTCTGCGTCACGATTTAGAAACATTTACTTACCATATCTACTAAAAGGAGAAGACTCAGAGGCATGATTATTGTATTTAGTCTTATTGTCACGTCAAGTCAACTTTCGTCTAAAAAATGCTTCCAATGTTGATTGGAGACAAATCGGCAGGCTTTATTAATACTATCCGTGAGGGAGAGAACAATAAAATATATTTTTGATTCTTTTTGATTAACTATGCCATATTAATAAGTCGTGCAAAAGTCTTTTTCATTATTGTTCATCCTTGAACAACATATAAAAAGGCCAATTTGACGCAATGACAGTTACTACTGTCTTAAAGATTTCGTTTTACTTTCTGATCATTCTTCAGCAAACACTAAATGCCACAGGTAAGTTATTTATATAAGTTCGAATTTTCGAACTATTAAGTGAATTTTTTTAATATAATAGAAACATTTTACAACCGACCAAAATTACCTGCTTGCCCACAATGGGATCCTTATGGAATTACATTTGCAAATATGTCAGTAGTTGGACGCCTTCCACTAGATATTTTTATCGATAGAAATAATACTATTTATGTTATTAATGAAGAAAATGAAGAAGTTCTTATTTGGAACGTAGATAATATCATTCCAACAGTGGTTACTTTCGATCATCGGATGGAACCTTGGGGTCTTTTTGTCACGAATAATGGAAACATTTATATCGGCAGCGACGAAACTGGTTTTGTAGAGAAATGGACTGTAAATGCAACAACAGGAATTGTCGTGATGAATGCCTCTGGTAGCTGTGCTGGATTGTTTGTCGATACTATGAATCATCTCTACTGCTCTTTAGCATATAAACATAAAGTTATAAAGCAGTCACTTGATAAAATTTCGAATACTCATATCATAGTTGCCGGTACAGGTGTTTCAGGATCAACTGATAATATGCTTAACGGTCCTCGTGGAATTTTCGTTAACAATAATCTTGATCTATATATCGCGGATTGTTGGAATAATAGAATTCAATTTGTCGAATTTAACTCACAAAATGAGATGAAAATAGCTTCAACTATCAGTACATTAAATATCATTCTTCATCTTCCAACAGCTGTGTTCTTGGACGCTGACAATTACTTATTCATTGTAGATAATTCAAACCATCGTGTTATTGGATCACGATCGAATGGATTTTATTGTATAGCTGGATGTTTAGATGTCGCCGGTACAACCTCAAGTCATTTAGATTTGCCATATGGTGCTGTTTTCGATAATTATGGAAATATTTTTGTCACCGATCAAGATAATAATCGAATTCAAAAATTTATGTTAATAACGAATAGTTCTAGTAAGTAAACAACTATCTGAAAAAATAAGCACATACAAGATCATTCATATGATGGTTCGAAATGATATTTCTCTCTTCAAATCATGCATTTAATTTGTTTATTTTGATTGAAAACAGGCAGTTCATCAATTATTGAATCTCCATACACATCAGAATTAAATGAGAATAGTCAAATGTTTGGTCACACTGATTGTGAAACGTTGAATTATTACTTTGAAGCCATAGAAATGGAAGTTCTTGAAAATGGATGTTACAGCTTTACCTTTAATAGCACAATTCGTATATACAGCTATATCTATGAAGATTATTTCAAGCCTGTCATTCCGTCTAAGAATTTATTTTCACAGATTGATCAAAATATTCGTACTGATCAATTTCAACTTGAAGCACCTCTCCAAAAGAACACAAAGTATATACTGGTGGTAACAACATTTATTCCAAATGTGACAGGAACGTTTTCAATAAATGTAACCGGACCAGGCATCGGCAAATTTAATCGCATTAGTGAGTATCTTTAATTTTATTATGATTATAGTAAAGAAGGAATTTTAAAATACAGAATGTATCATTATAAACTTAATTTTTAGTAGGAAGATTTTCTTTTTATATTGAATAGACGTATCCTGGAAGAAACAAGCGGTATACTCATCAGAGTTAGTTATTAATGGCCCAATATATTCACGTATTGGCTGTGGATCAATAAATTATTACTATAAAGCTATAGAAATCAATGTAATAGAGACAGGCTATTATATAATTATTAGCGAGGGTACTTTTAATATCTATGGATCGGTTTACAAAAATAATTTTCAAGTCTTCGATGCTAAGGTGAACTTACTTGTCGAAGATGATGACAGCGGTTGTGATCCTCAGTTTAAAATTTCAATTCTTCTTCAGAAGAACACAACATATATCTTAGTTATTACAACGTCTGATCCGAATCTAACAGGAACATTTTCGGTATTTATATTTGGGCCAAATAATGTCAGTATGAAATATATTAGTGAGTATCTATTATTTGTGTTTTTATGCTGATCGATAATAAATCTTAGAAAGATAAAAAGATTGAAAAGTTAATAAAAACAATATTTTCTATTCTATTAAGACAATGTTCCAACAGTCATCGAATCGAAATATTCATCAGCATTGACTGAAAATAGTCAAAAATATGCGCGCGAAAGATGTAAATTGTTGGCTCATTATTATGAAGCTATACAGATCAATATAATAACGTCTGGTTTATATCTTATTTCAAGTCAAAGTGCTATCAATGTATTCGGTTATTTCTATAAAAATTATTTTAATCCATTAAATTTAAATGAAAATTTTCTCGCTCTCAATGATGAAGGTTGTGGAAACAATCAATTTAGACTCAGACTTAATCTTCAATCTAATACAACATATGTATTAGTGGTCACCACTCATTATGCAGAGAAAAAAGGCAAATTTCTAATCTATACATCTGGTCCAAACAATGTCATTTTCAGTCGCATTGGTGAGTATTTATATTTTCGAAATAATTATAAATAGATAAATTCTTTCTAAAAATACAAAACATCTTCTTAGAATTATTTTTTGTTTTGATGAAATATGAATTTTAATTAGATACTCAATCAAAATATAAATCGGTACTAACAAAAGATACTCAAACCTATTCCCGAGTTTGTGGACGAACAAATTATCATTATGAAACAATAGAAGTCAATATAGAACAAACAGGTCCCTACAGTTTTGATAGTAATAGTAATATTATAACATATGGATATCTTTACAAAGACAATTTTAATCCATTCAATCCAAATAATAATTTAATAACACATAGCAATTATTCCTGTAGTGGATTTAATTTTAAATTTACAGCTTATCTTCAGTTTAACACAACATACGTACTCGTTGCGACAACATTTGAACCAAATGTGCAAGGAGCATTCTCTGTATTTGTTTATGGTCCAAATAATGTTACTCTCAATCGCATCAGTAAATATGCTTACAATATTGTAAAAATAAGAAGTTATTAAAGTATGCATGAAATTTATTTTTAGCCTATAATCATGACAGTTGTATTATTGGTGATCGATGTAATTCTTATACGAAAGGCGTTGGTGTGACTCTCGATGATATTTTACGCAATAAAATTCAACGAAATATGACGTTCAATGATCAATCATTTTTAATAAAAATGACTGCTGCTTTCACAATGATTATGTTCGGTGCAGGTTTGATCAATGCTGTTCTCTCTTTATTAACTTTTCAAAACATGGAATTACGACAAGTTGGTTGTGGAATATATCTTTTATCGTCATCGATCACTTCGCTTTTTACGATATCTTTGATGACAATTAAATTTTGGTATGTCGTTTTAACTCAAATGAATATGCGTCTTAATCGATCTATTCTTCAATCAGGTTGCAAATCTATTGAACCTCTGTTAAAAGTTTTCATTTATTTGGACACTTGGTTAAATGCTTGTGTAGCTATTGAACGAGCTGTTCATGTATTCCAAGGAGTCAAATTTAGTAAGAAGAAGAGTAAACGCATTGCTCTTTGGATAGTTTTTATATTACCATTCTTTATCGTAAGTACAATAATTCACGAACCACTACATCGTAATGTGATAGAATATGCAACTGAAAAATATCGATCACAAGATGATGATCAATTAACAAATAATTCAATTGAATATGAAACAGAAAAAAACGGATCAGAAATAATTGAAATGGAAAATCATATTCTATGTGTTAACATTTATTCTCGTTCTATGCAAGATTATAATACAGCTATTCTATTTTTTCATCTCACAGTTCCATTCATAGCTAATCTCTTTTCGGCATTATTCATTATTTTCGGAACTGCTCGACAGCGATCAGTTGCTCGAACTAACCAGTCGTATCAAGCACATATTCTTCAACAGTTAAGTGAACATAAACAATTAATAGTTAGTCCCATTATATTATTGATTCTATCTTTACCTCGATTGATCATTTCATTGGTATCCGGATGTGTAGATGCATCTAATAATTCTTGGTTATATTTTTTTGGTTATGCCATTTCATTCACTCCATCAATATTAATGTTTATGGTATTTATTTATCCTTCGAGCTTATATATGAACACATTTAAAAACTCATTAAAAAAGTGGACACAACGAAATAAATAAGAAACAATTTCTTCAATTATACTATTATTTATATTAATTTCAGTACTTTATTTTACAGTTTATTTTTGTTTCTTAAAGATCTTATTAAAGTTTACTAAAAATAAAAAAATCATAGCCTTTTGTGAAATATCCCAGGTCGAACGTTCCGGACATCGTATTCAAACGGACCGACAGGAAGGCACCCTTTTTCCAAGTAATTCCGTACGGTTCCACTAAGAACTCAGAGGAACCCAAACCGAAAAAATCGGAATTCTGAAGCAGTATTCCAGATCGGAAAAACTCGGAGAAGGATTCGACATATTCTCACAACTGCCGCCCAACAGATACCCACAGGATACTATAGGAACCTGTCATAACCGAGATACTCAAGTCAACTATCTCAAAAATGCACACTAAGTATCCTGACGGAACCTTCAGGAACCTGACTACGAAACCCAAAACAACAAAACTGCCCGTCTCCTTCCAAACGATTTCCACTAATACCGTTCCTATCCAACTTATTACGACCCAATCTAAGACCCGGATCCTCATGACATCGGACGCCGGAATCCGCAAAATACCGAACATTTCCAACAACAAACGCCCATAACCAACAAATTCTGACCTCATTCCATTGTGCAACAAACCGTTTCCGGCCAAAAACACCAGATTCAACTAACTACATCACATAAAACACCCAACCACCACTTTACTTTCCTCTTTCCGTCCACCCTCAAACAATCACCAAACACCATTCCGAGTCAACTGTTCTTCAAACCATTACATTCGCTTACCCGCCCTCTTGATAATTCTAAACAAAAATGACATATCTCAACCTTCCATCAGCTCTAATTTCCGACAGACTTCCAATTCTAATTCCCATTGAATACCAAATCCTCATGAGATTCACCAATTCTAAAAAATGAAGTAGTCACCTTTTCCACATATTTTTTCGGTGCATTAAATTTGGATTAAAAATCCTCATGAAATAAATAGATTCCCCAAAATAAAATACCATCAAATGAAATGAAATATTTAAGATGAGATGTTCGAAAGGATTATAAATCGCATTAGATTCCGCCTGAAAATCTTACTTGGGTGGAAACTAGCTTTTTGTGTTTGCTCTCTTGTTGGAGTGCGCACGCAATTAAGAGTGATAGTTGTGCAGATTTAGTGTGGCTGATTCATTGTAAATATGCGTCGTTCGGTTCCCGGTGGTTCCTCCGGGAATCCTATTATCAGGTAGAGTTGGGATTTTTTCCGGATTAGTATCCGCGTATTTCGGTGATTTTCCTGTGGGATATGAGCGGAAACTGATGGATTTTTCCCGAGAATATCCGACCTGGAATACTGCTTCCATGAAATGTTCGGAATCATGTGTATCCTATGGGTTCCGGATCGGACGCTTCGATTTGGGATATATATATATATATATGAAAAAAGAACATCATTTAAAAAATAGATTCTTCATGAACATACTGATGAATGTTTAGAAAAAACTTGATCAGCTTTGAAGAAATATATTCGAACAAAACTGGCATTCTTTAAGCCTTTTTTTTGTCTGAATGAAAACGATCAGCTGTGCGTAATTGTTTCATGTGTATTTAGTTTTCTATCTCTTTCTCATGACTCATGTTTTTATCATTTGTGTTGATATTGATAAGTTTCTGATTTTTCTTCCGTTTTATTAAAATTTCCAACATTTAATTTACGCTTTTATTTTATCCCCCTATATATATCTTATCATTGCATTGTACTTGCAATCAAAGTATACGTACTCCATCGGATGATGAATCACGAAAAAAGTGAACAACGTACGTGTGGTCTTCTTGGAGGTTTATCCTATGTTTCTACGGTCGATGTAAATATTTGATAAAATTTTTATGAAATATTTTCAGTTAATTTTTGTTCATTGAAGTATTATAACTCTATAAACCGACTTATCAGTGAATTTCTGATTGATCATAGCAGTCGTATTCACATGGTTTCGGTGGATATATTTCAATATACAAGGTTTCTCGAAGAAAGTCAATGGTCGCAAGCAGCTGATTATTTACTCGAAGGTGTTCACCGACTCGTAAAAAGTGGTATCGATTTTTTAGTTATTTGTTCAAATACGGGTAAGAAAAGACAGTCTTTTATTAGATTTGATCAGTTATTTCTTTGTTAGGCCATATGGTCGTGCCTAAAATCATGGAATACTATCCTCAATTGGTTTTACTTCACATCAGTGATGCAGTTGCCTTTGCTATTAAACAAAAGAAATTTCGTAAAGTAAGTTTTGATTAAGTTTAAAAAAAGTCGATTCTCGTCTTTTATACTAGGTTGGATTTCTGGGTACGAAAATGACAATGAAATTAGATAGTTGTGCAGTGAAACGTTTAATTCAACATGATTTGGATATATTGTTTCCAGATGAAGAAGAGATTGACAAAATTCATCATATTATCGCTACACAATTATCTATCAATATATTTTCTAAAGAATCGAAACAAATCTATCTAAAAGTCATACAGCGTATGTATGATGAACATCAAGTCGAGGGAGTTATTCTTGGATGTACAGGTAATAATGATTTTTAGTGATTTTTGTTTTTATTACTTTTTCTTGATTGTAGAAATACCTCTGCTAATTCAACAAAATGACATCCCCCGTGTGCCACTGTTCAACTCAACAAAATTACATGTATGATCAATTTATTAGTATTTGTTTTATATCATTTTTTCATAATTTAGGTTCAACTTGCAGTGGAATATCAACTCAATCGTTGCAATATCAATGATTTTTTGCCTCCTAATAATTCTAAAAACTAAACTAAAATCAGTAGTGTCAAACTTGAATTCAACTATTCGTTGAAGTATTCAACTATTTCAATTATTCCCGCAACCTCACTTTGTTGCGGTGCCCCCGCGCCCACCTCCCAGCCTCACTTTGATATTGAACAGTTGAATACTTGAATGAATAGTTGCTTTCAAGTTTCAAGTTATACATGTATGAGATTTTGATGCAATTGATGTTTGTTGGTCATTATACTTGAATCAGTTTCTTATTTTTTCATCACAAGATCTATACTTATTGGAAAGAAAAAAAGAAAACGGAAAACTCGTTGAAGTCATGAGGTTCAGTGAAAATGTATCGACGGGAACGTGTTTTGATCAGACATTGGTTGTTTGCTTCGGCCATAAAATAATTGAAGTTTATTCGATGCAAGAACATCGTGGAAAGTTACTTCAAAGATTTGATCCATCGTTGACCTGTGACCATGCTGGAGGTGAAGTTGTTGCGGATCTTAAATTCAACAGCGATGGCTCGTACTTAGCAGTTGCTATTGGAGGTAAAGCAAATAATAAAAATCAGCTACAACTACGAAATCCTATTGACCTGACAGTGTTACATAAACTAGATCTTGAACTCGGTCTCTACTGTATACTTCCTCTGCCAAACAATGAATATTTATTGCATTCATTTCTTGGGCGCGAATTATTTTTTGTTAATGCATATGGAAAAATGAAACAGGGATTACGATACGATAGACTTTTTGAATCAGTGGCATAGATCATCAACGAAAAGTGTCTCATTAGTCAAGGTTTTCATCGATACAGTTTTTCTTCTGAAATGCGTTTTTATGATTTGTGATACATACATTAGTAAGTCATATCAGCAACAGCACAAGATTTTATCACTGGAAATAAGCCGCGCTAATTTTTCAAAGCTAAAATGTATACGAAAAGTACTTTTTTTATGTCTGATATTCTGGAATAAACTTCGTTGATATTCCTAAAATGCTTGAGGATGAGGATGTGTTATATATCTACCCACACCTTTACTCTCAAGACGGAAAACTATTAAGCAAATTACATGGACGAGTTTTATTGTTGTCTTTAGTTTAATTGTTCATGCAGACATCTATACTTAATCCATTGGATTTAATATTCCTTTTGAGTAGTCTTTTATATCAACACTTGAATGTGACAAGCTTCTACCCTCTTTACAAGTCAAATATGATATCACATTCAGAATTTCATTCTCTTCTACACGTTCTTGCATACGATATCCAATTACTTTTCTCCCTTCTTAGTTGTTCGCCTTCTCAAGCAGATAGACAACAAAAAATACAACGTTTTTGCGAGTAGATTTGTTTTTGTAGAAAAAGTCGAGTTGCCAACTAGGGATGTTACTTTATCTTTACTTTTCTTTCTAATAAAGAATAAAGTATCAAAAAAATCTTTATTGTTTAAAAAATAAATCCTTTACGATTGCAAATACAACGAAAAAAATTCATCGAATTCGCGAATAGCATTGGAAAAATTATTACCATAACGTAGACATATCTTTTGTATGATCTGCAAAATAAATCAAGAAAATGAATTGAGTAATAAGTGTATATGAAAGTGAGTCTCACGGTATTATCTCGTAAAGCATTAGCAATGCATTGTATTCCCGTTTCTCCAATCATGTTGGATCGAAGATCTAATGTAATGAGTGTATTTACATATGTAGAAAAAAGTAAATACAGCAAAACCTCTCTAAAGTGAACACCCATGGGACCGGCCAAAAAGCATTCATTATCGGAGCTGTTCATTATAGAGAGATGTCACCGTACGTGAAAGCTCACACACACACATATATATATATATAGTGTAGGTATAAGGAGCGTCACAGACAGATAAGTACGCATCTTTTTTATTAGAGTTCTCCCTAATTACGGGATGCATAGAATAATAAAGTGTCGCTTCCATAAATTGAGTTGATGTAAAATTAACGACCTTTTTTTATCGATTCTAGAAGCACCAAAACCGATCGTTAGTTTTGCATGAATCCATTACTGAAGATTTTAATCTAATTTCTACGAAAATAATCATTAATCTTCGTTCACTTTTCTCTCTGTGAATCGTTGAATAGTGAAATAAATGGTATATCTAGTTAAATAAAAAGCGAGTGTCACTCTGGCTGTTGAATACATTATTATATGCAAGGTCAATCAGTTCTTTGTTGATTGCATTTTCCTTGTTTTTTATGTGTAAGATATCAATTGGATGTAAACTGTCAATTAGTATTGTTCGTCTATTCGAAATATTGGGTGAATTTTGTTGTAATAATTAGACTGTCAGTGAGTTTTGTTAGCATTGATTCAAAAAAAACTACAATAGACTATTTTATCTCCGGTTTCTTTCATTCAAGTGCATATACTNCTCCACTTTGGGACCGAAAAAAAAAAAGCGTTCACTGTTCAGAGTTGGGAGGTGTTCATTATATAGAGGTCAGTTTACAGCAAAAATTCATCGGGGGTAGTGGCGTAACCAGGAAATTGCGGGTGCCTGGGCGCCGCCCTGCAACTTTTGTAAGTATGATGAGATTACAATAATGTTTCCTAAAATTCACTTGAGTCTGCCGTTTTTGATTTCCTGAGACCAAAACAAAGTCAAAACAATGTTTTTTTATTTTATTGAGTAGAATTGTGTAAGAAAAAGAAAGAAAAATCAATAGTGTTAATCTTAGTATCATTTGACTGTTTCTATGTTGAATAGCAAAAGAATCAACTATTTTTTCATAATCGATATAAAAGTCTCTTTCAATAGCCAACAATGATAAATTGCTGAGTCTATTATCAGACATACCACTACGTGCAGTAGTTTTAATTAATTTCATTTTGCTAAAAGTTCGTTCCGTTGTAGTAAAAGATACTGGAATTGTCATAGCACCAATACGAAGTGATAGAAAGCTGGAAATGCTTGTTGTAATGGTAAAATTTCAAAATACAAATCAATTATATTGGTTGATTTTGATTGTTTCAACATTGTCCTCAGTACTTGAATTTCATTATTTAATAAATGAATATCACTCTGTAATATTGTACATAAAGCTCTCAGTTCTTCAATATCTAAAAATGTTGAACTATCAGGTGATAATGATGAAATACCACGAATAATTTCAATATTTGTACTGAAAAAACGATTATTCATTTCAAGTAAAATAGAATCGATTATTGGATAGAAAACCAATACTTTATATTTATTTTTATCATTACCTTCTTCACGTTGTCCAATTGTATATGTAATCAAACTTTGATTTAATCTAGTAAATATTTGTTTGATTCTTCTTTGGTTCATGTTAACATTAAAATCAATTTTATTTTTAATAGAAAATTCAATAATTTCATTATATAATTTAGAAAACTCTTATTCATTCCTAAGATCACTAATCTCAGTGATTACAGCACTAATCAATGTATGAGCTCTGCCAAAATCGAGAGATTTAGCTAGAATAAATAGAAAAAATTGTTTAACGACAAAGTAAAACACAAAAGATACTGTAAGTTTAAAGCAAGCTGCTTACATTTCAACTCATCAGATAAGATTTTTATCTTGCCGAGTATACGATCCAAAATGAAGATGGTTACAATAAATAATGATTTTTTTAATGCTAACAATAAACCTTGTGCATCTGTAGAACGTTCACTACCTTCATCAGCTAATTCTTCACAACTCTCAATCAGAACAGTATAGTTTTGCATGATAGAATGAATAGATGTCCAACGACTATCCCACCTAGTTTCAGTCCATTTCTTTATTGTGGTAGTACAGTTGTTGGAGGAATTTTCTACGAAAATAAAAGCAATAATTTTCGTTGCTAATAGATAAATTCTAAACGTTTTCACCTAAACTTAATTGTTTTTGAACTGATTTGAACACTTCACTAGTAACACTTTATCCATGAAAATATGTATAAATTTTGTTAATGATCGAATAGAATTCTGATGAATATGGAACTGTTTTTGTAACATCACATATAACAGGGTTCAATTTGTGTGCATGGCAATGCACATAGATTCCATTTGGAATGTATCGTTGACACAATAAAGCTTGAACACCAGCATTTTTTCCAGACATCACTGATGCTCTGTAAGAATAAATATAACTTGCTTTACGCTGTTTGTGAGTCTTTTATTATGCTTACCCATAAAAGCATAAAGCTATACAATTTTTTAAATCAATATTTAAAGAAGATAAAAATCTAACAATTTCGTTAGTTAGTGTTTCAGCATTAAATTGATCAAGTTTAATAAATCCAAGGAAATATTCTTTGAATAAAGATAATTGCTGATTTGAATCAGTATTTGATTTAACTTCACGATCAACAACACGTACGACTATACTAAGTTGTTCATGGCCTGAAACATCACGTGTCTCATCAGCCATTAATAAAAACATACGGTCGTTAATCTATGAAGGGAAAAAGAACTGAAGTTTTATAATGAAGGTAACATAATAATAATGTTACCTTGTTCGATATTTGTTGTCGAACTTGATTCGCTAAAAGTGAAATTAATTCATTTTGTATAAGTGGACTAAGATAGGTTGCATTTTGATCACTATCTTCAAGGACAGATAAAGAAATTGAATCGGTAATACTAGTCCATTGCCATATTTCGATGAAATTTCCTCTATTCGATGATCCATCAGAAGAAAAAGAAAAAATTAAACTAATAATCTATTATATCAAACTTACAATTCACCTTCTTCATGTCCACGTAAGCTAATCATTTGACGAGCACATAGATGTAATGTGGAGATGATCTTGATTAACTTCTCACGATTACGTTTTATTAATTCATTTCTCGATTTGCCTAATACTTGCACAACAGTTGAGTCAGATTTTGTACGTACAATATATTGTTTGTAATTGATCTCAGCTGCTTTATGACATTGAGTGTTTTGATGATTGAAGAATCCTTGTTTACCACCAAAAGCATGTTTCCAGCTGTTGAAACCACGAACAAATGCATCACTTTGATTCTAAATTTAAATGCAAAGGAAAAAAAATCAATTTCATAACAACATATAGATAGAAAAGAAAAAAATTTGTTTCTCGAAAACAGAAACAATTAACTACCCGATTATTTAAAATTATTCCAGTAGAAATGTGTCTGCAGTAATAACAGTAAGCTGAGTCTGTTAATTCCGAGTATTCTAACCAAATAAATTGAGTAAACCATTGACTACGAAAAGATCTTTTATCTTTATTTAATGGATAAGCAGCACGCATTGGTTGTGTTGGAGATTAATTGGCTGAGCGACTAATATCAATAATATTTGATGATAATGTAGTTGATGGTGAAGAACATACGAGAGAAGATTCAGAGGCAGATGAATGAATTTGTTGTTGTTGATTATTCGAAGAAGATGAAGATATTGAATCTGGTTGTTGTGCATATGTAAACTACAGCATTACGGCATGAATTATTTAAGTAACTATTGACTTGCCTGAAACTAGAGAAACATCAGATTTTTGTTTTTTATTAGTTTGTAAACTAAAAAATGATTCAATTGTTCCACGTTTAGGATCTTTAGCATCAGAAACTTCCTCCATTTCGAAACTGATGTATGACTTTTAATACGCTCTTATAATCAAGTAACCAATATATTTCATTGGTTATAATAATATCCTATGGGTGTCACTCTTCAACTGTTTCAAGATCTACCATACATACACAAATATAAACGCTTTATAAAAAATCTTTAACGAAAATTTTTCTCGGTGCCCGGGCTAGCCCGCCCCTGGTTACGCCATCGATTTTAGAACGCTATAACCCTTTCTTTCAGAAAAGGGAATGATGTATAAAATATTTCGTATAATTATTTTCAAAGGTTGACAACTAATCAGTAGATTTGGTTCTTCAAACTTCAAAGCAATCATATAGAGATCAACACCAAAAATGTCATTTTATATCTGTTTATTCTCTTTCTCGTAGAGAAGAGTCTTAGAAACATAAATTATTTGCTTGCTTGCTTGCTTGTTTGCTTGTTTGCTTGTTTGCTTGTTTGCTTGTTTGCTTGTTTGCTTGTATGTCCGCAGGGTCAAAAAAACATCGAAAATCGATTTTTCCGAAAAGACATTTCCAGAGGTATTTCGATGCGGAGACTTCGAATCTGATGTTAGTTTTTATAAATTTTTCATAGAAAACACTTTTTTAGGCAAACAACCACTTTTTTACAAAAAAATGTTTTTTTTTATAAAATTTTACCAAACGGTTTTTGAGGTCAAGGAANAGTTCAAACGTAGGTTCCAGTCATTTCCCGGCCGTTTCCTGCAAACTTCGAGCTGGAAACGGTCAGGAACTGATCGGATATTTCCTGTGCAATTCCGACCGGAATCGGCGAAAACTGTGCTGGAATCGAGAAGAGCTGTACCGGAACCGACTCAGATTTCAACGGATCCAGTCGCCGGAATGATCGACCTGGGATTATTGCTAAGGCAGGTACAATTGGTAGTTGCGTTCGTGTGACTTGAATGAATTGTGGGATTCTTTTCGCATTTTGTACTCAATCGAGCAGATGTCCGAAAAGTTGCCTTATAGGAACAGTAAACTGCTTCTTGATTAATGGAATAGTCATTAGTTTTGGCCGAAGGCCATCGAGAATTGTTTCTACTTGTGATGCATTAATTTTTACGAGTGCATATAATGGTTGTCGTATGTAGATTCTACTTGAGGGAAATATTTCTCTTTTTATCTTTAAATCGCTCAGATCCTCCTGATCATCGTATATGGGCTCTCGAAAAATTTCTTGAGTACCATTAGACAGCCCTAGTTCACAGGCATGTTTGCTTCCAAAGATAAAAGACCAGGAAGAAGTTCAGTCTCATTGTCAGGTATATGGAGGTTACTTCAAAGTTAGTTTATGAAGATCAGTTATTAATTATTACGTCACTAGACATCGAACAAAATGTTTTATTTATCGTACTAAAACGCTTGAATATAGCCGGCATCATATGTTTATATATTTTTTCCGAAAATCGATACCCTTTGTTTAAAAAAACTAACATCAGATTCGAGTTCCTCGACTCCATAAACCCTTTTGTCAAGTTTTATTAATAATAGTATTTCTAAGTTAGTATCAGTTACTAATTAGTAAAAACTAACATCAGTTTCGAAGTTTTCGCATTGAAATACCTCTGGAAATGTCTTTTCCGAAAATCGATTTTTGATGTTTTTTGGCCCTGCGGACATACAAGCAAACAATCTATGCTTCTAAGACTCTTCTCGACGAGAAAGAGAATAATTCTGCTTTTGTTCGAAAAACATTTCTACCTACTTTATATATTCTGAATATGGAAACTTCTAGAACCTTCTCGGATGTTCAAGGAAATTTGAGAAAAAACATGCAAAAAATTTCTTGCCAACCTAAAAGAATTAAGCCATCTGATGAGACCCTTAAAAAGGTCGAAAGGCGTCATCGTAGATTGGCTCACCTACATCTCTCAGGCAAAGTTAGAGACAGATAGATAGAGAGGAAGGCAGCGATAGAGAGAGATAAGGGGATAGGCAGTCACGGATACAGAGAGAAATAAGGGGATAGGCAGACTGGGGTAGAGAGAGATAAGGGGATAGGCAGGCAGACTGGGATAGAGAGATATAAGGGGATAGGCAGGCAGGCAGGGATAGAGAGAGATAAGGGGATAGGCAGGCAGACAGGGATAGAGAGAGATAAGGGGATAGGCAGTCAGACAGGGATAGAGAGAGATAAGGGGATAGGCAGTCAGACAGGGATAGAGAGAGATAAGGGGATAGGCAGTCACGGATACAGAGAGATATAAATAGCAAGCAAATAAGTGAAATTACAACTTACAGTTGCACAACGAGCGCACACTCACGAAAGAAAAACAAGGTTTTCAATCACCGCTGTATACTTCATATACAATTTATATTAAACAAAATGGCATCACGTCAACTGCGAATCGAAGAACAAAACATTTTTAACAATTTCATTTTTGTGCAAGATAAGCAAGAGTTAATTAGCCTGGCACGTGATGGACATATACAGAAATTTAGTTCTTCAGGCCAATCGCTGGGACAATCAAAAAATACTTATCTCTCTAATGATCGACATCAAAACATCGCTTTTCTAGAAGATCGACAAAATAACAAATATATTATCTGTCAAGATGAAAAATACAATATTCGTTTAATACGCTATGTTGATCTAGAAGATGTAGCAAATCCCATCGAAAATGATACCTATAATCACGTGTTGGACACTACATCAAATACAGCTGTTGTAAGTTTGAATGCGAATGGTAATGTTCAGGTTTGGAAACGTGGTGATGATGGATTATATACTAGGAAATATCTGAGTACGATAAAAAGTTATTATAGTCAAGATGCTTATAAACCACTTGCAGTCATAGGTGAAGATATTATCGTAACGCAAGATGATGATTCGCATAACAATTTTATATTACATTATTGGCAAAGTAGTGTCCAAAAAAAGATTTCAAGCAGTATTAATCCGAATGTTTACTGCATTCAGCCATTTCCAACGGCTGGATTAAATTTTGTCGTTGCATACGACGACAAAACAATTATGAAATATTCAGTTGATGAGAAGCAAAACAGAATCGCAGAAACGATTGTAAGTCGTGATGGTAACAATGGCAACGGTTGGAAATCTTTGTCTATATCAAGCAAAGGGCATATAGCCTTTAGTGAAAATACTGACCGACAGGTTATGCATATCCAGTATAATAATGTAGACGTGAAAACAATTCGTTGTCCTACTCTTTTACATTTTATTGGATGGATATCTGATGACAGCATTTTAGTATCGAGAAGCAAAGAGGATGTTTATGTTATGGATAATGTTTTAGCTTCACCTTAGAAGACTGAAATTCTTCATACTACAACTGACGTTAAAAGGGACATTCATTATATTTTTTAAGAAAATGTATCAAATAAAGTAATCTATGGTGATGGTTTATTTAATGTTTCATTTTATTCATCAATTTAAAACACTATATACTTGTATTCTATTAACAACTTTAATAAAATCTTTCGTATTTCTAGCAATGTTTTAGAGCAAAAGGATAACACTCGTTGATCAGAATAATCAAAAGTTCGAGCTCATACGATATCTTTCATTATAGAGTCCATCAGAAATAGCAATGAAGTGCTTAATCCCTAAAAAGAGCTCTGTGGATAAAATTTATCAACGATTATTTGTTGCTGATGTCCAAGAAAACTTGTCCCATGAGTTAAACCGATTGCAATCACACCTGAAACTGAATAAGTTGATTCACATGTAATAGGAATTCGTAATTTGACCAAAAATAATCGGTTTGTTCGATGTATGTTTAGATTTCCAAAAAAAGAAAATTTCTGCACAGAGGCTATACTTCATCTTTTTTTCAAAGTGTAGCTGATGCAAAACTCAAGTAGATTTTATTTTCTATTCATCATACATATTCTGATGTCTTGTCGAGTTGATCATGAGTGTCACCTTTTTATCTTTAAAAATCCTTTCTTCACGGATAAAAGTTTGAAATACCGAGATAGTCTAAAAAGTCGAAATAAGACTTCTACCGTAGAACTGACTTTTCAAAAGTTTTATTGCATGACGGAATGTTTAAAGCAATCGAGGATGTGTGAAGGTACGAGGGTGAGTAATAGCTACCATGACCACTCTCGTCTCGACTAAGAGACTTTTCCAATTGCAAATATATTTCTTTAAGATTTCGAAAAGTCTTACGAAAAATAACTCAGTTATACTTTAAAAAATAAAAGTTCTTGGTCTAGTGGGTTTGTTGCATAGATGGATATGTTTACCTAAAAGAGAAAGCTGTCTGGATAAGTTTATTAGTTCAGTAAAGAATATGATAGTAAGTCTACCAAATTTGAGGGTCGCAAAGTTCTCTCAAAATTTTTCCTATTATTTTGATACAGGAGTTCGTTGTTAGGTTGCGAAGGAATACCAGAAGTTATTAATTGATTAGATGGCACGGATAATAGGTGTCAAAGTTTTTTTAATTGTTTGGGGTGATGTTAAAGTGGATCGTGGTCTATAGGTATTTGAATTAGTCAAGTGACGAATGATTGGATACTTTTTGCGTTTTCGTGATCTTACTATACTTTTAAATAAAAAATGCAAAGAAAATGAACCGATTCCAGTTGTTTTTTTTAATTATGTGGGAAACGACTTATCGTTGGGTGGTTGATCTTGTAGTATTGTTTCCTTTGACCGTTTCCGTATGAAGCCATGTTCTGCACTGCAGCGATTACAAGTGCCAACAATAAATTTTGCATCGATCCCCTCCGATTTTTTGAATATAGCCTTGAAAATGTTATGCGTATCTCTTCTGAATGATTCGAATCGTTTTTCATGTTTATGATGTATAAGTAATCTATTTTCTTTCTTGTTTATTATATTTGTTGAAGTATTCATTATTGTTGTTGCTGCTGTTGATGGATTATTTACTGTTTTATATAGAAGGAAATATTCCAATTTGATTATCGATTAATAAAGATGAATAACTAAAATTAGAGTTCGGCAGGACTACCCGACCACAGTCCACATCCCATTGCAGTCAGGATAGGAACCTACTTATTTATTTCATAGCGAAATATAACACTTATTTGAAAATTTTGTTGTAATCCTCAGTAAAAAATATTATTAGAAAGAGGTCGCATGTAATTACAAACCTGCGTAAAAGTCGTAAGAATTCATATGCAGAATGTACTTTCCTACAGCAATAGTGAACGTTCGTATACGAAATCGGTTCTACATAATCATAAATGATACACAAAATTTGAGAAAACCATGCGAACTTATTTAGCACACTTGCCTCGATTTTGACTTATAATTGCCTTCATACACGCCTCATATTTTGATTAATAGCAAGCAGTCCCGGGGTGTCTTCTACTACGAACACCACAATTCTCATGATTAGTGAAAACCAGTCCCGGCTAGGGATCATTGGGACCACGATTTTTTAGTCCCGATCCCGTACTGGTCCCGAGACATCTGGTCCCGGTCCCGTACCGATCCCGAATGTTATTTTCGCTGTCGGCTTTCCACTTTTATGTTATTATAGTTAAGTGAAATCTGTTCTTTACATATCTGATTAATTGACCACAGAAACAAAGAACACAGCTAAAGTGTTTGTAGTTTTCATATGTGGACACTTACGAAAGTAATAAATAAATTAAATTGTCGCTTGATAATGACCAGTGAGATTACAATAACATCCACCGTTTCATCTGTGAGTTTGAATACAGAAAAACAAAATAATACAAAACAAAAGCGACTCGCCATTGAAGCGATGATCAAACAAAATGATATTCGAGTCACACTGGTAGAGAGTACACGTAGAACTAACAAAATATCTCCAGTTTGGGAGCATTTCAAATATATACATGTTGATGGTGTTCGCCAAGAATTTGTTCAATGTGCCGATTGCAAAGTGATTATCGGCTTCAATACAATGAACGGAACAAATGGATTGAAGAAGCATATTGACAGTTGTCCGAAGATTATGAATTCGAAAAGCGGCGTTCAATCGAATATCACTTCACATTTCAAATCTTTTAGCAAAGATTCTTCATGTATTCCAGATCCCTTTATCAAGTTAATGACCAACACAAGTGCTGAACAAGTAGCGCTCGTTCTTTGGATTCGCTGACCCTTTTCTGAAAGAATTATCCTAGTCCTGACAACATTCAAACACTTTGAAAGACAACTTAGGCGCTGCGATTGCTACCAGTCCTCAACTGAACCATGCCACTATATCACACACTAGAGTGAATAGAAGACAGAGATTGTTCTTTTTCAGGAACCGAACCGATCAGCCATTTGCCAGTGAGTAATTCTCGAGAAGTACCTGTGTTGACTGAAAACCCCATCTCTCAATGGCTAGTCACTCATGAGCCTCCCTCCGGTTGACCAGTCACGGCCAGCCATTCACCTTTTCATCTGTTGTTCTATTTTCACATTTCTCGCATGAAAATTTTACACATTAGCCTGTCTCTTTTAGCAAAAAATTGACTCTTTTCTCTGCTTTCAACAAAACGATGCATTCTCCAATATTTTCATTGAGGAATATACATTTGCCAAATCCTTTTAAAAAATCGTTGAAGCCTGATAAGGCTATTCCAAGTGTACACTTTAAGATTAATCTGGAATTTAAACGCCAAGTCGTTCATCGGTCTCCCTCCGGTCGGCCACTCACGGCTAGCCGTTGCCACATATACGAATAGTTTCCC